GGGGTGCGTGCAGCAGGGAAGGCAGCAGCCTCAGCTCTGTGGTGGACAGCCGGGTGGGCAGATTTTGGGGCCACCTGGGAAGGGACCAAGTGGCTTCATAAATATGCCACGTCTGCTGGGGTCTTGCAATTGCAGCATGGGGCGTTTCAGGGGCAAGGTGTGGTGGGGTTTTGGCCCCAGCGTTGGGTGCATGGGGACAGCAAGGGACAGGCTGGGTGGAGATGGTGGCACAGGGAGACCTCCACTGTGCTGCAAGTGGAATAGCGGGGCTCCCCGCTGGCTCCCAGCAGACCTTTCCAAAGATTTTACATCCTTTTCTGATGAAACGGGCAATGAATCCCCACGTTCCCCATGCGTGGTTGCTGCTACCAAAAGGCATGTGTTCGGCACAGTTCCGGCTGCAGAGGTGCGGAGTTTGGCTCATCACCATGAGAAGCTCTGTCCTCAAGCTCACAGCAAGAAAAACTAATCTGCTCAGGCACCCCCTCCTCGTCTCTCCCTGCAATATGCAATGCGATGCCTATAAAAACCCAGAAATTGAATCGACATTGCAAACAAGCCACTGGGATATGGGATATTCTCATCCCTGAAATGCAGAGATGCTGCCAAGGGGTTGAGGTTGTGGAGGGCAACCAAAGGGGATGGTGGAGGGCAACCAAAGGGGACCGTAAACCCCTTGGCTTGTATTTGAATATTGACTATGCCACTGCTGGGCTTTGGGAGACCTTTGGGAAACCTGCTTGAGGATCCCCTTGGTGGGAGCACCCTGGGGCGCAGGCAGGATCCGGCTGCTGCCGGGCTCTCGGCAGCACCGGCAGCTCTTCCCCAGTGATGTCTCTAAGATAAATGTTTGTCTTTTTCGTCCAAGAGATACAGCAGAGCCGCTGCCAGCACCACGTCTCAGTGGAATCAGTTTTCGTTCTGCCAGGAGCGTTACCGGCTCATGATTCACATCTTTACAGCAGCTTTGGAAGGAAAATGTGCTCCTTGCCAGGCAGACCTTCACGCACTTTGAGATGCCACAGTTTTTCCAGACTTTCCAAAGGAAGCCACGGCCAAGTGAGACATTCCTTCTCCTCTTCCAGCTTTCTTGGAACAACCTTCTTTGATTAGCGAGCGAGACAGATAGTTGGAAAGACAGACAGACAGACAGGCCAGGCAGTAGGGTTATAATAAGCAGTTTGCGTGAGCCCGAGCCTCCGACGGGATGGTGCCTCCATCCACCTCTCACTGGGTGGCTGGTGAGAGCCCCTGCTGTTTGCAGTGGTCCCCAACCCCGTGCCCTCCTCCACAGTCTTGACCCCAACCTTCTGCCATGGTCCCCAGTCCCCTTCCCTCCACTGTGGACCCAGAGCCGGGTGGTGCACAGGCTCTGGTTTGCAGCACGGCTCCTGCCTGGCTGCGGGTGCCTTTGCCACCAGAGAGAGGACAGAGGCCGCATCCAGCATCTGCAGGGCTCAGCCAGGACAACCCTGTGGGGCTCTCCCCAAGGTGGCAGCCAGGTCAGGCTGGATGCGAGCATGATGCTGGCGGGAGGAGAAGCAGCCGCCGTGCAGAACATCCCTGTGTGCAGCCAGCCCACCCTGCCGCCAAGGCGGGCGAGCCATGCACGGTGTTGCCGGCGAGGCTGAGTCACGGGGCAGCGTGCCTGCTCCGGCGTGCGTGGGCCCACGGCCGTGACTCAGCCCCGTGGCTGCCAGCGCTTGCTGCCGGGCCCACAGCTCCTTCTTCTCCCCGGAGCTTTGTGCTGGAGCCCCCACGTATGAATCGGAGCCGGCTTTGTGCCGGGCCCAGGGGGACCGTGGTCCCCGCGTGGAGGGGAGGGATGGCTTTTCTCTCAGAGCGCTCAGCATGGCAGAGGCCTCTGTGGGGGGAAGAGGAGGAGGGGGACCACACACAAAGGGGGTTTAAAGAGTATCTCCTGGTGCGGGTGAAAGCAAGGATCTGTCCCACCAGGGAAGATTGCCCTGCCCTGAAGCACAAAGCAAAGGAGCTGGGGTTTGCTTTGCCTGTTTGTGCCTATGGCACAGGAAGCCAGGTTGGAAAAAGCAACAAAATGGCTCAGACGTTGCCGGCAGGTCCTGTGCAAGGGATGGGTACAAGGCCAGGGTGCAGGGAAGGAGATGGGAGCTCCTGCCTCGCTGCCTGCAGCTGCACCCCCTCAGCCACCCCAGCACCCGCGCTCGCACTGCACCAGCAGGAGAAACAGAACAAGCATCTGCAGGGAGTGTGTTTGGAAAATACCAGGTTTTATTAGACAGGCTGATGTTCAAGCTGACAGTTTTATCCCAATGCACACGATCATGGGCAGCTACGTGGGCCTGTGTCCCAGCTCCCTCCCTCCTGTGATGCTCTCAGACGAGATGCTCACCCCACTGTGCCATGGGCTTGGGGTTTCTTAGCAAAATGAAAGGGTGTCCCTGCTCCCCATTTCCACTCCCAGATTCCCAGAGCTCTCCTAAGAAAGCTCAGAGAGAGCGGGGCTGGGGACTGCAACCTTTTTGGGACTGACAGCTACTTGGATCCACAGGAGAGAAAGCATCTCAGTGTTGGTGTCTCCCCGAGCCAGCACAGAGCCGAGTCAGTGTGTGTCACAGGGAGCAGAAAACAGCCCCAGCATCGGACCACCACTGACATCGCTTTGGAAAGAGAACCCTAAGGTACAATATTGGGGCAGAGGAAAAAGGTTTTGGCTGTCACAAGAGGAGCCCCATCCAGGACATGGGCACCAGGGCTTTGCACAGGGCATGTGGGTGCTGAAGCGAAGAGAAAGGGAGGAGAGGAGGCAATGAGTGCTGGAGAATAAAGCAAAAGAAAAGGAAAACAGAGAAGGGATGGGGAGAGCGATGGGAGTGGCCTGAGAGCAGAGCGATGGTGCCTTTAGGTTCAGGGCCATAAGGGAGCATTGGAGCTCCTTCCTGGGATGGGGGGCGTTTCCCTGGGTACCCCAGAGCCCATGGCTTTGAGGGGACAGGGCAGCAAGGAAAGAGGTGGCACGATACAGCGCTCACAAATAGAAATGTTTGATAGCCTTTGCTTGCCGTGACAGTGACACGCAGTGTGATGGCAGGAACAGTGACAATATTAGCCCGTTTCTATTCCATTAGCTCTTAAGAAAACCATGCAGACTAGCCCAGCAGAGGAGAGTTAGAGGCGAGGAGGAGTAGGTGAGACAGAGAAGGATGCTGATGAACAACAGGATTATGTACAAGAAAGAAGAAAGAACAGCAGTGGAGGGGGGCAGCAGCTCTGGGGCAGGTTTGAGACCTTGCGACACTGACTCATGAACACATCACTTCTCTCCAGGCTCTTCTGGCTGCTGCTTTCTCTGACACTCTGCTTGCTTTCCCTCGGACCTCCGGTCCCCTCTGCCCTGTGGGCAAAATCCTTCTGCACAAGCCATGCCCCTTCCCATGCTTGGACGTAGATTTGGGTCTTGTCTTCATAAGTTCAAATGTAGAGTCCTACCTCAAAGCAGAGGCAAGGAGCATGGAAGTCCCTTGGGCAGTGTCCCCCCAAACTCACCTGGACTGGAGGGGACCTATTCTTTGCAGTGCCTGGCCTCTGTGCCAGGGGACATGGAGCCTCCACAGACCTTCTGCCCTAGGCCATGCCCCTTTGGGTACATGGAGACGAGGGGCACTGCCCTTCACACCCTTCTCATCACAAAAGCCTTCCATTCCCAGCTTTCTCTTTCCCTCTTTCATTCTTTTTGCCTTTTTCTTGCCTCACCTGGCACCTCCACATCTTCTTGTTCCTGTCAAAGGTAAGTCCCTCTGCTCCAGAGGTTTCCTGGAGAGCAGCGCTAGCTGTGGTCATTTGGCAGGAGGAAGGAGAAGGGACATTCAGCAGGTCCTTGGTGGGCTCAAAGGCACTAGTTTCCATCCAGGCCAACATCTACCTCTTGGCTTGTTTGCGTTCGGCTCAGCAGCCAGCCATGCTGGCCATGAGGGCCAAGTGACGAGGCCACCCCTAATCCCCTGGCTTTCACTGCTGGATTTCAAGGTTGGCTGTCCACGGGGAACCTCACCCTGCTCGGGTGTTTCCAAAGCAATACTCTTTCTCTTCCCAGGACTGAGTGCTGATGCACAGAGATGAGCAGACAAAATCATGGCTAAAATGGGGGAAGTTTGGTGAACAAGCCAGAGAAACCTGCCTGGGTTGTCCTAGGGAGAACAGATCAGCAGATGGGCAAAAGGATGTGGTTAGTGACCCCCTGTTCATGCCTCCCTCCACACAGCACAAAAACATGGGGCTTTGACTGAGAAAACAGCAACACGGACTTGAACAAGGTCAAACTGCCAAACGCTTAATCCTCAGAGCCCTGCTGTTGCACAGGCTTGACTTGCCAGCATGGGTTTTTGAGGCTGATGGCACACACAGGCATGAAGTGCCCTGTCCCTGTGCTGGCCCAGGGGGAGGAAAACCTGCTCATGGCTTCTTGCGGGACCGTGTGATTTGGGGTGCTGGCCTTCCTCCTCCAGCACAGCTCAGCTCCTTTCCAGCCCACTGCTTCCTCTGACATGGACTTGCAAATCCCATCATGGCTATCTGTCTGGAGCTGCAAACACCCCTTCTTAAGGCAAACACCCAGGTGAAGGCTGCAGAAGTTCAACTCAGCTGTTATGCGAAAGGAGAACTCACTTGGTAACCCACAAGTCTCAGAAAGAAAAACAAGATCAATATTTGCAGAGATTTGTAGGACGCTTGTGCCTGAAAACAACAGCTGGGATCTGGCCTCTCTTTCCTTGCCCAGCGCTTTGCCCCCAGGGCTCCTGGTGATGCCCCGGGTTAGTGTGTCACCACTTTCCCCTGTGCTCTTACGCCGTGCCCTTGTTCTCGCTCCCTGCCGGCTTCGGAGATGCAGAGGTTGAAATTCCTGTTCATGCACTCTTGGCACCAGTGAAAAAGCAGCTACAGTTCTAGCTCACTGTGCATTGCTCATACTTACAGCTTAAACATTGCCTTCTACTCAAAAGAACAAAGGTAAAATGTCAGGAATTCACAGTTTTTATTCTCTTTCTTATGCCCACCCATCTTCCCCTGCCATCGATGTCAATGACTCAAAGTCCTCATCGTACAGTAGCCTTTGCCAGTGTGGCACTCAAAGGGTTAACAAACCACGGCTTCTTGGACAGATAAGACATAAGCTCATTCACCAGTAGGAACACGTGGATGGTTATATTACAGGACACCTTAGGGTTTCCTGTAGCGATTCTTTGGGGTTTCGCCACAGCCAGTGATGTCACAGGAGAGAATGTTGGGCTTCTTCCCCAAGCCGATGCTTCCCAAGAGATCGGGAAGCTCACGAGTGATGGCCTTCTCAATCTTCTCTAGGAAACACCCTCCCATGTAGGAACACTGCTGAGACAGCAGCTTAAAACTGGTGATGGGGTTGATGCCAAAGAAGTCCTTGTAAGCCTCGCGGTTGGGGAGGTCAAATTTGCTGACATTGGTCTTTGCCAGAATGGACTTAAAGATAAAGAACTTGTCAGGATCTTCCACAATGTCCCTGAACACCAGTTCTCCATCGCTAAAGAAGGTCATTTTGTCCTTGTAGGTCTGTAGATAACGATCGACCAAAAGGGCGTGGATGCGCACCCGGATGGCGTGCTGGCGTATGAAGGCGATCTTATTTTCCATCCTGTTCTCAATCACCTGGTTGAGATCTTCCAGGAGCGATATCTCTTCTTTGAGGAACAGGTCTTTGTGGGTATCCGGATGGTACTCCTGGGGCCAGAAGGAGCTGACGTACACTCTGGGTGGCTCTGTGACATTGATGAGAGGAGCCAGGCTCCAGAATAAGGCACCATAGACTCGCATGAGCTCCTGGGTAGCCAGGCTGTCGGCTTTGTTCAAGATGATTCGGATCTGAGACTCGCGGCCCTTCAGCTGGCGAAACAGCATCTCCAGCTCCAAGCCCACGTCCAGCTTTGTAGGGTCAAAAACAACGAAGATGAGATCAGCTCTATCAATGAACCATTGGCACACATCGTTGAACGGGTAACCTTGAGGAGAGGAAAGAGAGAATGAGTCCCTACAGGTCAAAGGATAGATAAACCTTGAACCTGCTACACCTCACGCCCTGTCCGGGTTGGACAGGGTGTGAGACACAGCGGGATTCCCATGCAGCCTAGAACCTGTTTCTCATGTGCTAAAAACACTTCAGAGTTTCTTGGCATGAAAACCCATCCCTGTGTGTCTGGGCCTGCGACTACATGTCTCCCTCAGCCTCACCTCTAAATCTTCTTTCTCCCTGCTGGGAATTTGGCCACAGATTCCTGCAGCTCCTGTGAGCAAATATTGGCCACATCATTGCTTTCCCCAGTGGGCATCAAGTGGGTCAAGAAGCCCTGCTGATCTGTCCTGGCATTCCAGGTGCTGTGGGGACAGACTCGTGCTTCTCTGGGCCCTGCTGTAGCACCAGCCATTGGCAAAGCCTGGCTCCAAGGATGACAAATGGGGCATTAAATGCTGAGCTGAGGCAGACGATCAACTGTCCAAGGAGTCCCCAGGACACACCTTGCCGAAATGCCTGTCTGTCACACCTCCAAACAGCAGAAGTGGCTGCTCTAGCTGATGACACTTGGGTATGTGCCCCAGGTCCAAGCTGCTGCTGCCATACCCATGGGCAGACAAATGCTGCCATCCCCTCCAATGCAAGACCTCTTTTGTAGCCTAGGGCTCTTCCCCGCTGTGCTTCAGCCATTTTTGTCATCTCACATCGTTATGGCATCTTTTCTGGAGTCCCTTAGATGAAGCCAGTAAACCCCTACCTCGTTCTTGCTGCTTGCGGTTTTCAATGATGCCCGGCGTGTCCACAAAGGTGACTCGCTCTAGCAGTTTGTGGGGCACCTCGATCCCTATCAGCTTCTCCAAGAAATTCTGCCCAAACTTCTCCAGGGGTGAGAAGGAGCGGGCGCTGTCAGCAGCCATCACGATGCCCTCGATGGTCTTCAGCTTGGGGCCGTGCATGATGACAGTGAATTCAGAGGTGGTGGGTTCTGCCCCTGCCCAGCAACAAGAGGAATAGCAGACCTGTGAAATCCATGCTGGGCAATGGACGTGACAGGGCTGGCCTGGAACTAGCCGGGAAGCTCAGGAGCATCACTTGCTTGCCAAGAGATGCTGGGGGAAGGCAAGCAGCGGGGCTATGAAATTCTTGCCAAACCTCTTGAGAAAATGCCAGCAGGACTGTCTGCTGTGGGGACTGGTTGTTCTGGAAGTGGCCTGACTGCACAAGGTGCCCTGGAGAACCACCTCCCAGGAGCCCTCATTACCGCGGTGCAGAGCTGGCCACGGACATCTGCCCTCAGCTGAGAGATGACATCCGTGGGAGCAGGGAGGAGGGAAGGGGAATGGCTTTTCTCCTGGGAGGGCAAATTAATTGGCTCCACATGAGGAGGGAAGGGGAGAAGGCAAAGGCGAGTTGGCCTTGTGACATGATGGCTGCTCTCGCGATCAAGGTCGGAGGCAGTGAGCCATGCGCTGCAGGATGGGGATGCTGTGGGGAAAGATGCCCTCCTCCTCCCGGGAGAGGGTGGACAGGCCTTGGGCCATGGTGCAGAACCTCTCCCTCCGCGTGGCACTGCAGCCAGGCAGCATGGACCAGATCCCAACCTCCCTGCCATTGTGAGGGGGATCGAAGAGACATGGCCAGGAATTGCTGACTGCACAGATGCAGAAATGCCAGTGCCAGCACAGCCCTAGCAGAAAGGGAGGGAGTGGTGAGCATGGTACCTGTGTAGAGCTGGTAGGGAGTGTCGTCCAGCCCAAGGAGGTAGTTTATCATGGAGGATTTGCCGACGCTCCACGGTCCCAGGAATAGCACCATTGGCTTGGAAGTGATCTCCCCATCTGCGGAGAGGGGAAATAACAAGAGGAAGTGAAGAAACAATAGCCGTCGCCGCCACGCGATTAACTGCTGGCTGTAACGAGCATCCCATCTGAGCAGCGCGGTGATGCTGCTGGGGAAACAGCCACCCTTTTGGGGCCACCAGCCATTTGCGAGCCAAGGCATCGCCCAGCGACGGGCTCCAGTGTCTGCAGGAGCGGGACGTCACCATGCTCTGCAGGAGACCCCACATCACTTGTCTGACATTCTCTGAGGTTCGGCCCTTCTTTGACTACAGGAAGACTTGAAGTCTTTTAAATCTTGTCTCAGTTCGGTTCTGGTTTAGCCAGAGTGAGTTTGGGGGTGGCTGCAGGGGGGACTGTTGTTAGAAGGCAGCCGCCACAAAGCACAGGACATGCGAAGAGGGTGGCCATGCGGCAGCCAGGTGAATGCCACGTGCAAAGGGAGCTGGCGTGGTTTAAGGAGCAATAAATACTATGGTGCAGTGCTCGGTAAGCATGGTGCAAGCCTTGTGCCAGCTGCCTGCAAGCCTTTCCACCATATCCTCACAGGGATCTGCTCCCGGGTCGTGGCTCCCAGCCCTCTGGTCGAGCAGAAGGTCCCTGCTTACGTGTGGGCTGGGCGCAAGGCTCCAGCCCAGTGCGGGGAGAGCAGGCTGGGCGAACGGCCCTGCTTTGGGCCTGCGGAAAGGCGGGAAGAGAATGAACTACAGTCCCCATCCCGCACTCTTCAAGTTCTGCAGTTTGCTAAGGGGCTCAAGGAGGCTGATGATGGGCCCATAAGGCCCCATGTCACATGCTACATGATCGGTCTAGGAGCATGGAGTTCCCTGGACACACGCAGCCACAATCCCCAGGAGCAATCCCTGCTCAAGTGGGACCTGTGTAATTGGCCTGTGCCCATGCTGCTCGACCCCCCAAGCACCCAGGCCACTGGGCAGGCAGCCGGCAGAGCCAGAGGAGCCCCTGGCCCATGCCAGCTCTCAAGCTTTGCCCAGGACGTCCGGGAGCCTGCTAGTCGGCTCAAGCCCAAGTCAGGCCAGAAATGGAAGGAAAAAACTGGATGAGTGAGTTTCCGCTGGTGGGAACCTTCCCCATCCCAGTCTTGCACTCAGGGTGGGAGAGAGGATCTGTCCCACTGCTGCCAGCAGGAATCCAGCCAGGAGAGGGGCTAGGTGCTACCAGAGGAGCTGAGAGCTGCTGTCTCTCAGCCAGAGCTGAGCCTTCCCCCTGTGACACAGGGCGAGCAGATGCCCTTGGGGGACCCACGCCACCCTCGGCACCCTCTCTTCAGCCCTGCGCCTAAGGCAAAGCTATTTTCCCTGCAGTGGCTGAGAGACCCCGCTGCTCCATGCCTGCTGCCCACTCAGGAGCCAGCAGCTTTCCACCAAGCTGGGGATCCATCTCCAAGGTGGGGGGAGCCGCAAAGCCCACATGGTGCTGAGATCCTGCTCCCAAGGGTGCCAGAGGGCACTGCATGGTGGTTCCGCACCGAACCTATCTGACCATGGGTGCAGGAATTGGGCAGAGCGTGCCAGCCTCCTCCTGCTTGCATCTGCCCAATGCAGGGCCACCGTGTCACCACTGGGGAAGAGAATGGGCTGGGGACATCTCTCCATGGGGCACAGCTGCATCCAGGCAGCTCAACCCTCCTCGCCAAAGCAGGGCAGCCACATCCGAACCAGGGGGACAGCCCTGCCCACTCCCTGCCTGTGAGCTGTGGGGATCCAATGTTGTCTTCTCACACGGGACAAAAACAAATGTTGAAACCTCAGACTTTCATGATTAATCATTCCTCTGTGCCACTCAATCACTGCTGCTCTGTTCGCTTGCTGGCTTTAATTGGGTTTCGGATGATTATTGTTATTATTATCCCCTGTGATGTTGTGCCAGAGGTTTGAGGCGGGTTCCCGCGTGCTCTTTTGTAACGCTTTCCCGGACAGGCGTGGCTGTGTGAACGCAGGCAGCCCGCGCGACCCGGCTCCGCTTCACGTCCCCACCTCTGCCCCGCTGTGCCGAGGCGGGCAGCAATGCAGGCAGGCAGCCCTCCTGCCAGGTCACCGACAGCTCGTTGAGCCCAACTCTACCCCTCGCTTTGGGAGCGGGGTGCTGGCACCCCACGGGCTTTGTGGGCAGTGCCAGGCACTGGATCCTTGCAGCTCTCCAGGTAGCACAACAGCTCCGAGGATCTGAGGCCATGCACGGGTCCTCCTGGCTGCTGCCCAGGGTCTGGGAGGGCAGAGAGCATCTCCCACCCGGGAGGGTGCTGGCCTGGCATCTGTCCCTGCTACGTCCCCCCGCTGTGTCTGTCAGCACCAATTTGGGTCACCTTGATGGTCCAGCCAGGGGAAAAGAGCCAGCCCTGGGCAAGGCTGGCGGCAGCTCCATCACGGCGGCTCTCTCCAGCCACCCTGTGGCTGCTCGCTCCCAGCCCAGCCTGCCTCGCTCCCAGCTCAAGCTCCATCCCAGCTCGAGCTCATCCCAGCTCATCACCAGGCATGTCCTGGTGGCATTTGCAGAAGCAGTCGCACGCTGGTGTGTGATCAGGCCCTGCCTGCGAGCAGGGAGGTCCTCAAACCTTGCGCCCCTTCATCTGTGGTCCTGCTTAAAACACAGCAGCTTAAAACACAGCTTCTCTAAGCTGCCGTGTTTGCAGGGTAAAGAGCATGCTGTGATCCTGCAAAGCACCTGGCAAACAGGGCCAGCAAGGTCACATCTGCCTCCACAGAGCCTGCATTTGTCTTGGACTGTTCAGCTTGGGGGGTAGGAGCAATTTGGATGTCCAAATAGGTGTGTTTTCCTTAAGCAGTGGCTTTCTGGGAGGTTTTTCCATGTTGCTTGCATCACCAGGCGGCCCTTGGGTGGGAGCACTGCTGCTCTGGGGCTGGGATTAACCCTGGGCTGGCTTTTCTCCCTCTTTGTCCTCAAGCCCCGCAGAAGTGCCTGGTGTCAGCTCACCCCCCGTTGTGCAAGTCTGTCCTGAGGATGCTAGGCAAAGCGGAGGACGTGGCAAAACCTCCTTCCTCTCCTGGTTCAGACTGAGCCACGGGCACAAAGGTCTCCCTCTGTCCTCAAACCACCCAGGAAGGCTAAAACCCCTGGGAAGACTCTCCCAGCATTGCCCACACTGTCACCCCATCCCTGTACTGCAAACACCACCAGCCACTCTGCCTATGGTATGGATGCACCACACGGCAGCCCTTGGAGGGCTGGCCAGCCTGCTCCTGAAGCTTCAAAAGCCAGAAGTACCCACACAGCACGTGTGCCCGCAGACAGAGGGACAAGGCACACGTGGCTGCAGATTGCCTGTGCCTGCCTCCGCGCTGTGCTCCCTGTGAGCGTACGCCCACACAAGCAGCACGCGCGTGTGTGCGCCTGCAGCTAGAGATGCAGATAAGACAGCTATCGAGATATGCTATATATATCTACAATCCTCTCTGCTGCCGACATGCTGGCATGACTGGGAGCCAGAGACCCTCCAGGCGCTGGCAGGGCTCTGCCGCATATGGAGCCGGGGCGCAGAGGAGCCTGTTTTGGCAGGATCTGGCAGCAGGGGCTGTGGGGTAGGACACGAGTACCAGAATATAGGAATTCGCTGCCTCATGTTGCAGCAGGGACATTGTTCCCGTGGCCCAGCACCTGACCCAGGGGAAGGGCTGGGTGTTGGTTGGCATTTCTTGGCCCATCTCCCATCTTCTGCTTCTTTGGAGGGGACCTGGCAGCACACCCTGAGCAGGATAGGCAGGGAGAGGAGCCAGCTCTGGCTCCCGAGGGGGCTGAGGCCGCCGTGCAGGGGCCAGCCTGTGTTACTGGGACAGCTGCTGCGGGCTCATTGGCTTAAGCTGCAGCCAGGGGGGATCAAGGGTGGACATTCAGGAAAGTTTCTGCACGTAGGAGGGTGAAGCGTGGGAAGAACCCCCTCCATAGTGTGGGCTATCTGCTGGGCACCTCCAGTTCTTGCTGTGGGTGAGAGATCAACCCACAGGTCCACCACAAACGCCTTTGAACCGTGGCTAGAGGAACACGCAACCTCTTCAGTCTTAACCCAAGAGGGAAAGGTGTCAAAGCCTGGGCCAGGTGGAGATTGCAGGAAGGAGGGGGCTGTTGGGGTGCACAGAGTCAGGCCTGGGACAAAGTACAGCGACACATGTGCCAAGCTCTGGAAGGGCTGGGGACACTGGCTCTGGTGGGTGCCATGGGATGCCAAGTACCGGGGTCTGCTTGGTGCCTGGGAAGTGTGGCTCTGTTGGGGCAGGTGAATAGGAAAGCCAGAGGCCAGCAAAGAGCTTAGGCAGCACTGGCAGCATGCAGGTAACAGGCAGCGATACCAACCTGTGGCAGAGGAGCCCAGGGTGCGTCCGGGGTAAGCTGATAGCAAGGGACACGGGGAGAGAGAAAAGGTACCATGAGTCGAAGGAGGGATGCAGCTGCCTGGGTCTGTCCCAGGCCGAGGAGGGAGCTGAAGACTGGCCCTGGCCTTCTCGTGGGCAGGAAAAGCCAGCGACGGCCACATTCCCAGCAGGAGAGAAGGAGTTACAGTCTGTGAGCAACAAGACCCACAGCTACCAGGACAAGCACTAAACCCCAGTCTGCCTTGTGCACCGGGGATGTGGCCTGGGGGAGCTGCCATGTCTGAGACAGCACCCCAACGCTCCTGCCCTGCTTAGCAGAGTTATTGCCTTCCCCAGCAATGTTCACCGAGCAAACAGAGCCCAACAAGCTGTGGTCAGGACAGTAACCAACCCCGACAAGCATCCTGACCACCCCAGTGGTGTGGTTACCCGTAACCAGCCCTAGGGTGGCTGGTGATGGCAACTGGGAGGTCATTGCCTATACAGTGACACTTGTTAATGGCACATATACAGTAATTAGGGTCACCAGCATGCACCACAAACTGGCATGACTTCAGAGCAAGCTTCCCATCACCAGACTGGGAGAGTCCCTCACCTCTGAGCTAGCAACAATCCCTACAGGGTGGCCCTGCTGTGACCAAGCACACAGGCAGACCCAGCCAGAGAGTGCCTGCACACACATGGGATGGCAGAGTGGAGACACGGGAGGTCGGCAGGCAGGGAGAAGGAGATGGCACCCGCCAGGCTTAAACACGCTGTAAGCAGAAGGTGTGGCATGAGTTTTCTGGGATGCACCCCGACAATTCAGAATCCGAGGTTGTCAGTGGCAGTTGCAGCTCCCCCAGGACAGGTGACACTTGGCTACACAGGTTTTTTTGCGAGCTGTGGTGAGCAGAGGAGCTCCTTGGATTACACTGGCTGGTGCATGCAAGCAAAGCCAATGGGAAGGGAGACAAAATGGAGGGCTGCTGCGTAATGGAGGGGTGAAGGTGCTTGCGATGGCACCCCTCTATATTGGCTTACACCTCCAAAGGTCACACATATTCCATGACAGGCCAGTCCTGCCGCTCTCCCAGCTGTCCTGGTCCTCCCAGTCAGCTGGGCCTGCAGCTCTGCACCCTCCAGCCTCCCCCTGCCATGTGGAGTGGGCACAGGGGGAGAGGTTGGGGGCATCTCCCACCTTGCAGCGGCACCACAGATGCAACAAACCCACTCAGGACAGGGGCACCATACAGAAGAAACAGCTGAGAAGACTCCCTCAGCCCCACCATGTCCTCACTTGCCTTACAATGTCAAGAGGGCTCTCTGGGCCAACCCTCTAACTAATTTGCAGGTTTCTCTAATTACACTGCTAATGAGGGATTGGGAAAAGCTGGATCTGTGGGTATTGGAGGCAAACTGCTGGGCTCTAGGCTTCCAGGATGGAGTGGTGTGTGTTGGGATGTCAGAGAGGCTTCTAGGAGACTGGTGGCAGGACCAACATTTCTGAGGGTAATCTCATGCCAGGGTGTCTCATGGCTGAGCTGAGGGCTGCAGGCAATGCGGTGTCCACAGGCCCTTCCCTTAGGGCCAGGAGGTTGTAGCTTACCAGCTCTGGATTGTATCTGGACTGCTGGGAGGGTGCTGTGTAGGACACAACAGGGTGTGCTGGGGGCACTCCTGCTGGGACCTGACCTGGGGGACTCTCAGCCTGAGGGATGGTCGTTCCTCATAGTGAAGTGGAACAGACCATGGTGTGTTGTAAGATGAGGCTGTGAGGAACACCAGGACCTGTGTCTGTGGTGAGTCCTGCTCAGGAGCTGGGTTTGAGAGGGGCCTTGGGGTGGGAAAACACAAGGGTTAGTTGTTTCCTCAGGAGTTGAGAGGAAGCCAACAGGGTCCTGAGAAACACTTGCTTCCTCCCAAAAAGGGAGCAGGGAGGTGGCTGCTTGGTCATGGGATGGCTGAAGGGTGAAGTGGGATGTCCTGAGCAAGGAAATGGGTTGTGCCCTGGGAACTGAAGCTGGGGGCTGCGTCCTCTGGCAGTGAACAGCAAAGTGAGGGTTAGAGGCTGGGAGCCTACCCCTGTAACCCCAAATGTCCTCCTAAACAGTGTCCCAGGTTGAGCTGACAGTAAATGCAGATGCTTGCACTGCCACCAACACAGACCAAAGCAGCTTGGAGAGGAGGTTGGGGTGTTGCTGAATCTGTGAGCTCCAGGATGGAGACAGCTGGGACAGGGCATGGCTGGGCTGCCCTCACTGCACGGTGCTGCTGCTGAAGAGGCTGTGGGGATGCACACTGGGATGCCAACCCTACAGCTTCTGGTGCTCCTTCCCCAGGCACGTGGCAGTGCTGTACTGGCTGCATGAGGGAGGGGACAGGCCAAACCACTGGGTGGGTGACAGCAGCTGTGGGGTGATGGTCTGCAGGGCACCCCTCCTGTGCTGGCTGCAGCATGGTGTGTTGCTGTGACCCCCCCCCCCCCCCCCCAGTTACCCTCCCACACAGCAAGCGGATTGTGGTCCCCAGCTGCTGGCAAGCAGGACAGAGTGAAACAGGCACTGCAAAGGCAGCAACACAGAACTGGCTGCGGGAGAGCTAGTTACAGCTCATGTTTTATGAGACCTACAAATGTCCCCTCCAGAACCCCTGTGGGTGGGTGATGGGTGATGTCCAGGGTGCTCCGTGTCTTGAGGGGACAGGACCTGGGCTGGTGATGAGGACTTTATAGACCTGTCCCTGCCCCATGGGTCCCCCATGCTTCCCCACTGCCTCTAAGCTGGAGATGGGCTGGCTGGGCATGGAGATGTTCAAGCCTGCTTACAAAATATTTGACACAGATTTAGGAGTTGTATTAGGGCTGCAGTGGGTGTGCCTGTAAAACAGAGGCTCTAAGGGGATATGTCCCAGGGGTTTGCCCAAATGAATATGGGACCTGTGCACTGGTGGAGTAGAGTCCAGCTGCAAAAGGAAGGTCTGTGTGGAGGGTGTATCTAGGTCCTGTCTCACCAGGAGGGAGGGCATGGCTCCAGGGTGTGTGAGGCTGGAAACCTGGGGAGGGAGGCAGAACTTCAGGACAAGGAGGGACCCTGCCAGGAGACTGATGTGGGCATGCAGCCCTGGGACACAGGCAGCAGGGATTCAAGCATCCCTTGCCTGACTAGCCAAGGCACAGGGGGCATCTGGCTCAGAACAGGGATGGAGTAAGGGTTCACAGGAGAATTACCCTGGTGAACAGGGACCTTGGGCTTGGGCTTGATCCATCTGTGCTTAGAAAATGAGGCTGCTTGTGTCATATGGGTCACAAGAGCTTCCTGTAGTTTGTGAGCATCTTGGGACCAGGGCTGCACTTTCCTCTTCTGGAGGGACACATGTACTGTTGGGGCTCAGCCCAAGCCAGTGCCTGTGGCCACAGGGACCTGTTCACCTGATCCAATGTGTCTGTACTTGCCAAGGGGTGGAAACTGTAACTCCCAGGATGAGTGAAGACTGCTGAACTTGAGGGATACCCTGCCCACATGGCTGTGTCCCATACTGAGCAGGAAGGATGCCAGCTCCAGCCACCCCCAGGAAGCTCATCCCCAGCCTTGAGAGGTCCTAAGCTTCCTTGCCAAGCCTGTTTCACTGGGCTGTGATCGCTGCTTGGCATGGGTACAGGGCATTGGTGTTGAGCAGGTGGAGGACCCAAAGCAGGCAGGGCTCAATAGTCAGCCTACACATATGGTCCTGACAGCAGATGGTCTAAGGCAGATGCAGGAATGCCTGCCGCTGGGTTCACTAGGGCATGGCCTCTAAGCCCAGCATGTTCATGGCCTTTTTGGGAAGCCACAAAGGAAGACAAACTATCTATCTGAGCCTTTCCGTGATCTGCTCTCTGTGCTGTTACCTGCACCCCAATGACCTGATGGTGCCGGAGACCCCAGTGCCCACGGCATTACCTGTGATCTCATGTTGTCTCAGCTCGTTGTATCTGTAGGACTGTTCCAGGGGCTTGATGGAGGAGTGGTAGATCTTCCTCAGCCGCTGCAGTGCTCCTGCAGGGGCAGAAGCATGCAGACAGGTGAAAAGCAAACCCCACCACCCTGACTGAGTCCCTCCTAGGTAAGCTGCTGGGCATTCCCTGCAGATCTTGAGGGTGACTTAGCTGTGGATTAAGGGACTTGGCTTACAGTTGAAATCTTGGTCAAACTGATCCCAGTCATGCATTTTGATGCCCCTCCCTGCTAATGTTTCCTGCTGGCTACTGTCCCCATCTGCTGCTGGTCTTGCACGTGCCAGCAGCTGATGGAAGGAATATCTCTCGTTAATGCTGTTTAGCACTCAACACCCATGATCCCAAAAGCCCTCCACCACGGTGCCAGGGACCTATGACACAGCCCCTAAGCTGCTGGATAGAAGAAGGAGCTTTTTCCACAGCAGCTTTTATCGCTTTCTTTCCAGTCCAGACCACCTATGAGGTCAGCAGAAGCAAGCTTTATAATAGCAAAACCCAGTAAGTAATTGGAATAAAAATCCAAACCCTTTATTACAAGTTGCCCCAGGTTTCTCTGGGCAGCAGCATGGCTGGCTGGGGCTGATTCACCATCTGCATCTTCCAGCCTTTCTAACCCTCCTAATTCTTGTATGCCCTTGGGGCTGTCTTTAAAATACCTAAAGTATGTTAACCCAAGAGCAGCAAAAGGGCTGTTATTGAAGCTATGGTGTTGCTGGGCCTACAAGAAGTAAGGTTAAAACCAAAACACTCTAGGGAAGCGAAATCCCATCCATGCTCCGGGTGCAGCAAGAATGGTGAAGAGCCTGTCCTGCAGGGGTTGCCTGGAGTGAAGGAGCAGGGCATGCATGGCTCAGTGCCACCCAGGCCCCCTCACCTGAGAAATCGTCAGCAGGTTTGTCCTCGTTCAGCTTGAGGGTGCTCTCCAAGTGGGACCGGTCACGCTTGGTCGGCTCGCTGGCATCTTCAACCTCTTCTGGAGGAAAACACAAGGAGACCTGTTACTGCTGGAGCAGGGGACTCCACACAGGCACTCACACAAGCTACTGCTGAGGAGAGGGCTTGGGGGAGCACACACACCCCAAGTCCACAGACCTGCCGTGCGCCTTGACAGTTGCTGTCGCCTTTGGCACACCACGCAATTTCTCTTTTGCAAAGGCTCCTGGAGGCTTGGCGCAGGCTGCCAGGGCTGTGGCTGCTGGGGAAAGCGTCATGGGCAACTGCTTGGCTCCGAGGAGCGGCTGGCGAGGGAGGCACGCCGTGTCCCTGGGGGGAGTGAGGGCGGCCGCTCGCGGGGAATGCGAAGGATGTGCCTGGAAGGGGCTCCCGGGGCTGGAGCGTAGCACGAGCACACGTGGCACCTGCTGCCCGATGGGGCCCCTGCCTGCCCTGCCGCTTCCCCCGGCAGCTGCAGCTCCTCCAAGACTAAGCCTTGCTTGCAGGCACACTCTTCTCTGCCTCTCTGTCTGTCCACTTGCCCCCCAAAATTATGCATTGAGACAGAGACATGAGGATGTGCAAGGCTGGGGCTGGCTCTTGAGAGACCGGCCAGCCTGACCCATCCTGGCCGCCTCGCCTTTGCCAAAAGGGTTGTTCCCTCCCACTTCTCCCACCTCTGCCCCCAGATCAGGCTGGAGCCCTCTGCATGGAGCCCTGGCTCGGGGTGGCCTGGGATCCCCACAGCTCTGTGCCAGGCCTGGGGAGCATGAGGCAGGTGCCTCCACCTGGGGTAGGCACCCCGATGTCCCCAAGACAGGGAGACAGAGGCGTCCTCTCCCTGGAGGTGCTGGCTTACCAGGGGCCCTGTGCAGCTCCAAATGCTTTTTGGTATCTGGAGCTGGGTTGGGCTTTAGTGGGAGTTTGGGGACAGGTCTGGGGACAGATGTGTGCTAGCTGGCTGGGCTGGGGATGCCTGGGCCAAGCAGGGCACCGCCAAGCCCTGGGACTGTGTTGAATGTCTACCGAGTGTTGGGCTGAGGAAGACCTTTTGACTTGCCAAGTAAAGCCACAGAGACCAAACTGTGTTTCCCTTTCAGCACAAATGGGAACTTTTTGAGCTGGGACATTATGGATGAAAGCAGAAAAAGACAGCTGGGTCCGAAGGTCACTGCCCAACCCGTGAGCCAAAGTCCACAAGAAATCATGGTGGGGGGTGTCCCTTTTCCTTAGCTAGCCTTTTACTGATTGAACGTGGCCAGAGCTGGTGCTTCAGCAATTCATCGGTCTGAATTAGCTCTTCACACCTTCCCTACAAGGCAAGGGCTGGTGGACAAGAGACCCACCAGCCCAGGCACCATCCTGCCCTTGCACCAAGCAAGCTGGGGGTCCGGAGGACTCTGAGCATGGAGCATAAAGGGCCTTTAAGAGGTCTGCGGGTGCTGAGAGGGGCCTGTGTGTTAAAAATCTTATCAGCGTCCACAGCCCAGAGGAGAAATGATGGGCTTAAAGTGCAGTGAAGGAAATGTCAGCCAGCTTTGGTATTGCTGCAATGAGTGCCTGCATTGCAGGCATCTGCGGGCTCCTGCCTGTGCCCTTGATGCCCGCAGCCGGCCCAGCCGTGCAGCGGTTAGGGGCAGGTGCAGGAAGCACAAGCGTTAGGAGAGGGCCATGCACTAGGCGCAGTTTAATGTGCCAAGCTCAGCTCCGCCGGGGGTTGATAGTAGGTCACTCTCGCTGCTACAGCACACCAACAAGAAAAGACTCCAACCTATCTGGCTGTGCCGGAGCTCAGCGGCAGCTGGGTGGGTGCTGTGGCCAGGTGGGCTCTCCGTTTCTGCCAGTGATGGCTTGTCTGCAGGGGGGTCTTCTGCTGCTGGGGGGTTTTCCACCACTGCTGGTGGGTCTTCTGCTACTGGTGGGTTTTCCACTGCTGCTGGCGGGTCTTCTGCTGCTGGTGGGTCTTCCACCGCTGCTGGCAGGTCTTCTGCTGTGTCCCCACAGGGTGGGTGATGGCAGCTGGCAGGGCCATCCCCAGCTTCTCCCTTGCCTGCAGCTGCTGGTTTGCCATGGCCCTTTTTGCTGGAAGTGCTGGCCACTTCCTTGTCACTCCCTTCAGCTCCGTTCTCTGGCCCTGTTGGCCCAACACCATCTTCCTCAGACTCTTCCTCCTCCTTAGACTCTCCCTCCTCCTTGGACTCTCCCTCGCCTCCATCTTCCTCAGACTTGCCATGTTCATCTTCCTCAGACTCCCCTTGTTCATCATCTTCCTCTGAGCTCTGCTCGTCCCCTTCCTGTCCCCCCTCAGGAGCAGACACTGCTCTTGGCTCCTCCATTTTCTCTTCCCCAGGCTGCCCTTGCTCCTCAGAGACTCCTTTCTTGGTGCTGGGCTCCTTATCCTCCCGGGCATGGAAGCCATCTTGTGAGCCAGGCCCGTGGTTCCCTTCATGATGCGCTGCCTCAGGGGTACCCAGCATGGTGTCCTCCCCTAGGCTCTGTGCCTTGCTGGGCCCGTCCTGGACCTTCTCCCTGGTGGTGTCCTCCAGCCGGCCATCCCCTGGCCCCAGGTCCCTGCTCAGGCCACCCACCGGCTCTTCCTCCCCCTCTCCACGTCCCTCCTCAGCAGTACCAGGCAAGGAGGTATTGGCAGGGCCGCCATCTTGGTCCTCCTCAGGGCTGCCATCAGCTGCCTTCTCCTCCAGCCTGGGCTCTGCGGCTGGCAAGGGGCTTTCAGCAGCACCGCCGACATGGTCCATGCCGGGGGCGTGTGGCTCTAAACGATGAGAACAGCTCAGTCAGTCTTACCCGCGCTGGCACATGGCTACCAGGGCACCCACTTGTTCCCCGTCAGTGCTGGGGGGGGGGCCTGAGGGAGGATTTGTGGCTGTTACCAAGAGGTTTAAACTCTTTCCTAAACCTTCTCTAGTTCCAGCTCAATTTTCTCTCCCTGTTGCAAGAAGCTGGGTGCAAAGAAGTGTTTTGGGGGGGCAAAGCTGATGCTAGCAGGGGGCCCTACGGCTGCGCCAGCCATGGCTGCCCGGGGCTGTGGCTGCTACCCACTGCAAAGCGCTGCAGGAAGGTGGCAAAGCAGCCCTTAAAAATGGGGGCGGGGGGGGGGGGGGAATAACAAAAAGCGTAGCTTGAGGGGCTGGAGGCACTTGGCAGGTTAAAAAGGTCCTTCCCCAGCCCTGCCTCGGGAGAGCCATGGCAGGTGGCTGGGCAAGGGTGAGGAGGAGGAAGGTGCAAGGGAGAGGAAGAGGCAAGGGGCTCCCTGGCATGGGGCCCTGCCTTTCTGCAGGGGGCAAGCGCGGGCAGGGCCTGACCCTGGCAGCAGGGCTCGGGAGCTATTTATTGTGAGCATCCCTTCACTAGGAAAGCATTTGCCGCACTGTGCGGCTGGCGGGGACACAATGAGTTTGTTCTGCGGCCTGGGAGAAGCCATCCGTATTTTCCATAGGCCTCCAACTGCAATTTAACATTAGTCAACGGGTGCCAAAAATAAAAGATCACCAGCTATACTGTCTCTGTTACAAACAGTTGCTGCTAGTCTAAATAATCCCCCAAAACGTCTAATGCCTGCATACCAGGGAAGCGTTTCAGAGGAAAATAATTCCTTTGTACTCCAGCTGGCAAGCAGATGCCAACCAGGAAAAAATGCCACCTCCACCCAGGCTGCGGGGAGGAGAGCAGGCAGCACCGGGCACAGGCAGTGCCGGGCACAGCCAGCCGGCTGGCAGCCAGCCCTCTTCTCCGGCTCCTGCACCGTGTCCGTGCTGGGGAGCCACGGGGCTGTGTGTCCTGCAGAGCATTGGCAGGCCTCGGCCTCGGCAAAGCTGCGGTGCTGGGGCTCGCCGGTCTTGGCCACGGGGAACCGCGGTGGCTGAGCACGGGACAGCTGAGCCAGGGTGGGCGCAGCGCCAGCCCCAGACCACTCTGCCCACTGCAAGCCAGTTTGCCATGGCCGGGGACTCTGGGCAGGTGGTTGCATCTCTACCCATGGCGGGGCCAGTGGTGCTGTTAGCTGGGAGTCAGGCAGCGGCGGCAGATTCCTGCCGGGGGATGAGCCATGCCAGCGGCAGGCGGCTGGCGGGGACGGGGCGTGCCTCAGCCTGCCAGGGTTTCCAGTCACTCTCATGTGCAGCCTGGCACGGTGGAGCTGCCGCCGTCCCCGTGGCCCCTCGCCCTGCCGAAACCGGATGCATGGGTCACCCTTGCTCTGCCCTCACCGACCTCCTCCGTCCTTTGCTGGCACGTGGCTCACAGGTGCCTCTGGGCTCCCGATTCAGCTCCCAGCTGGAGGGAGACGGGTCCTGCACAGCTCCCACCTACCTCCCTCCCACCTGGAGCACCCTTCTCCTTCGGGTCACCTTCCTGCAGGACCCCTGGGACCCCTCAGGGTGCCCAGCCTGCTGGGAGCCACTCGAAGGAGAATGTGCTACGTCTGACCTGTAAAGCCACAGGTGGCTCGGGGCCAGCATGCCCCTGCCTGGCCCTGGCAGCCTGGAGACCAGCCTGGGTCTCCCGAGGGTCCCCTCGGCCGACGGAGACAGGGATATCCTCGGCTTGGCCCCAAAATAGCCGGTGACCTGGAGGGCTGGGAGGGGAGTGCAGGTCCTTGGGCGGGCATTCAGGGAGGGTCAATGCGGGCAGGGGGGGAGCAGCGCCAGGCAAAGGAGACCTCGCGTGTCCCGAGGGCTTTGTCTGGCGTCTGCGTGTCCCCTCTGACCCAATGCAGAGGGACAGAGGGGCCGTCATCCACTGTGGCCGGGCACAATGGCAACTTTGGCATCCGCCATGAGCTGTCCCTCGTGGGAAAAGGGAAATATTCCCCAGGCACTCCGACTGGGATGTTCCTGCCAGTGTGCTGGTCACAGACTTAATTTCCTGTGACCTTCAAGGTCTTATACAAAGTCCCTCTCCCCTCTCCACCTCCTTCTCCCTCCTGTTTCCCCTACATGGTCTCCAAATCCATCACACGGTGAATTGTGCTGATCTGCAGATGGCCGGCCGATGAGCAGCGAGATGGGCCGAAGGTTATGG